GGTTTATATCGAATCGTACATTAACCGTCTGACTTTAGTGTTTAGATAGGATTGGAAATCGGGTGATGAAGCGGCATAACATATTGTTACATATATCAACAGCAAGCTTCACAGGGAAAAGCATGCCACCACTGTTTTGACCTTCTGAATTTTTTTTTTTACACTTACATAAACATATGAGAGGTGCAGTCAGGTTGAGTATCCTGTTTATGATTTGTTTCGAGGGTGTGCGTTTGTTTTATGTTTTTTTTTAATTCTTGGTCTGTTAAGTGAGCGTGTTTGGTTTTGAGATGATGTGAGATTATGCAAGCTCTTTTTTTATTGATGACGTTTATTGTATGAAAGATTGCGTTGTTATGTGCTAGTAGTTACAAGTAAGAGCCATGCATGGGCTAATAGCCAGTAGTGTATAGTATTGAGGTTAGTTTGTATTTAAATTCGTAATATACCTGGACGCGTGGCGAAACACTTGATATGTGTCGTACAAGATTGAAAGGCAGACTCATTGTCGGAGCACAGTACTAGGAGATTAAAGGCATTGCTCACACCCAAAGAAAGTGCACGGTGAGTAAAAAAACAGAATCGACTCCAATCCACTAGGACTAGGACTAAAAAAAGCACGTGTGTCGAAAGGAAAGGAAGGCTTATAAGGAACAAAAAACCGGGCATGAAATGCCAGCCCCATAGTCACCTTTGAACAAATTCTTGGTCATCTTTGCATGCGAAGGACGAAAAACATAGAAATTATAAAATGTATGCGTTTCGACAGTACACAACGAAATAAATTTAGTATTTGAAATATTTCTTTAAGGAAATCCATGTCTGAACATAATGTACATACACGATTTTACCATAAGTAGCAAAGATACAAGTTTTCTTTAAATGTAGAAAACATATAAGTTTTCAACATATGTAGCAAACATGCACGTTTTCATTATATGCAGCAATTATTTAAATTTTCAACATATTTTAACATATGTAGCAAAATTCAAGTTTTCAATATATAAAGCAAGCATATAATTTTATAACATATGTTGCAAACATACAAGTTTTCATTATATGCAACAACATAAGAAGCAAACATACTCGTTTTCAATTTTTGCAGCCAACATACTAGTTTTCCACATATGTAGCAAACAAATTAAAACAATGGGAACGAGCTCATATTGCCATCATCAATTAGCTGAAACACACGATTCAATGAGCGGAACTCTCACTCAATTTAAGTTTTGTATGTTTAATTGACGGCTACTTTGAAGGTTATTCATAATTGGTGATAATGCAAAGAATGTACAATTTTTTTTTAGTCAGCATAACTTACCCTTGAGCGTTTCACTAAACTATACTGACATTGGTGCTAAACTATATTACATTGGTGCTAAACAATACTCCATTTTTGGAAAACCATACTGACAGTGTTGCTAAATTATACTGACATTGGTGATAAATTATACTGTCAGTGGTGTGCACATAGAAAGTTTTTGACAAACTATACTGACATTTGTGAGCACACAGAAAGTTTTGCTAAATCATACTGATTTTGGTGAGCACAAAGAAGATTTTGCTAAACTATACTGACATTGGGGAGAACATAGAACATTTTGCTAACCTATACTGACATTAGTGAGCACATCGCAAGTTTTTCTAAAATATACTGACATTGGTTAGCACATAGATAGTTTTGCAAACTATTCTGACATTTGGGAGTACTTCGAAAATTTTGATAAACTATACTAACAGTGGTGAGAACAGAGAACATTTTGTTAAACAATACTAAAATTCGCGAGAACACAGAACGTGTTGCTAAACTATATTGACATTTGTGTTTTTGTGAGAACGTAAACTTTTTTTGATAAACTGTACTGACATTGGTGAGCACATATAACTTTTTGCTAAAATATACTGACGTTGGTGAGCACACAGAACGTTTTGCTAGACAGTGGTGATAATTGTGAGCACAGACATTGATTAGCAAAATATAACTGACATTGATGAGCGAATTTAATGTTTTGCTAGACTATACTGCTGTTGGTGAGCACATAGAAAGTTTTGCTAAACTATACTGAAATTTGTGAGCACATAAAACAGTTGGCTAAATTTTCTGACATTGATGAGCACATGGAACGTTTTGCTGAACAATACTGACATAAGTGAGCACATAGACAGTTTTCCTAAACTTTACCTACAATAGTAAGAACAGATAATGGTTGCTAATTTATTCTGACAATCGTGAGGATATAGAAACTTTTGCTAAGCCATACTGACATTGGTGAACACATAAAACGTTTAAATAAGTTATAATGACACTGGTGAACACACTAAACGTTTTGCTAAACTATACACACATTGGTGGGCACATAGAAAGTTTTGCAAAACTATAATGACATTGGTGATTATAAAAAGGTTTGGACTGCGATAAAGCTTTAAAATGAATTAATTTGACACGAAACATGTGTGTCAATATAACAGTATAAGTTAATCTTTAATAATAATTTTACATAATCACACATATACATTTCAGCACATTGCTGTAATCAGTACCAACAAAAAACAGCAACAATAGTTAAATGAGTGTAAATTAAATTTACCTAATATGTATATACATATATCCCACCAGAAAAGGAGATAAAAATACATCCTTAGAAAAAAATACATAGAATATTTGCTAAACTATACTATTATTGAGTAACACTTAAAACATTTTGCTAAACTATAATGACATTGGCGAACACATGGAAAGTTTTACTTAACACTATTGTCATTGATGAGGTCATAGAATGTTTAGATACACATTTATTGACATGGATAGCACATATAAAATTTTGCTCAGGAACAATGAAATTTGTGAGCACTTAGAACATTTTGATAAACTATAATGACATTGGTGAGCAAATAGAACTTTTCACTAAACTGTACTGACATTGGTGACAACATAAAACGTTTTGCTAAACTATACTTATATTGGTGAGCACATGGAAAGGTTTGATAGACAATACTCTCTTTCGTGAAAACATTAGACGTTTTCATAAACTATTCTGACATTGGCGAACACATAGAACGTTTTTTTAAAAACTTTACTAACATTGGTGTGCAATTAGAAAGTTTTGCCTAACTATACTGATATCATTGAGCATATAGAACGTTTTGTTAAACTATACTGGTATTGGTAAGAACATAGAACGTTTTGCTATGGTATACTAACAATGGTGAATACATAGAACGTTTAATAATACAAACTGACATTGGTAAGCACATAGAAGGTTTTGCTAAACTATATTTACATGGGTGAGGTTTCCCCAATATAATTACATTTAATTGCTAAACTTAACTAACCTGATATCGTTGAACACTTAGAAAGCTTTGCTAAACTATACTGATAGCGCTGAGCAGTTAGAAAGTTCGGCTAACTTATAATGACATAGGTGAGCACATACAACGTTTTAATAAAATATACTGTCATTTGTAAGCACAAAGAAAGTTTTGGAAAACTATACTGACATCAGTGAAAACATATAACGCGTTTTTAAACTATACTGGCGTTGAAGAGCACACAGAGAGTTTTTCTAAACTATACTAACATGGTGAGCACATAGAACGTTTAATTATACAAACTGACATTGGTAAGCACATAGAAGGTTTTGCTAAACTATATTTACATGGGTGAGGTTTCCCCAATATAATTACATGGGTGACAACATTGAATTCTTTGCTAGACTATAATGGCATTGGTTAGAACAAAGAAAATTGTGCTAAACGTATCCGACATTGGTGAGCACATAGCACATTTTATTTAAATTTCTGACATTGGTAAGCACATAGAACGTTTTTATAAACTATACTGAAATTTGTAAGAACATAGAAAGGTTTTCTAAACTACACTGCCATTGGTGAGCACATTAAATGTTTTGCTAAACTTTACTGACATTTTTGAGCACATAAGTCGTTTTTCTAAACTATACTGACATTGATGAACACATAGAACGTTTTGTTAAACTATAATGACATTGGTTAGCATATAGAACGTTCTGCTCAACTATACATACATTGGTGAGCACATTGAACATTTTGGGAAACCATTCTGACATTTGTGAACAGATAGAACGTTTTAATAATACATACGTACATTGATGAGCATATAGAACGTTTTGCTAAACTATACTGACATTGGTGAGCACATATAACTTTTTTTCTAAACTTAATGATATTGTTGAGCACTTAGAAAATTTTGATAAAATATACTGTCATTGTTGAGCTCATACAACGTTTTGCTAAACTATAATGACATTCATGAGCACATTGAAAGCAATTTTAAGCAAGACTCTGAACTAACTTTTTAACGTTTGCCCTGCATACATGGCTCATTATGGCACTTCCTTCAGCGTTTAATATTGAACTGTCCACAGGACTCAAAATTACACTGCCTACAGGGCTCAATATGGCACTGCCCACAGGCATTATCCGAATGGCTCAATACGGCATTATCCGCATGGCTCAATATGGCATTGCCTACAGGCTCAATACGGTACTGCCTACATGACTCATTGATACACTGTCTACAAGGCTCAATATTGCACGGTCTGTATGCCTCAATTTGTCAATGCCTTCATGGCTCAATATGGCCCTGCCACCAAGGCTCAATATTGAACGGCCTGTTAGGCTCAATACGACACTGTCCATATGGCTCAATATAACAAGGTCTACATGGCTCAATATGGCATTTCCTTCAGCGTTCAATATTGCACTGCCTTACTTTGGTGTAATTGCTGTTTTTGCACTATTTCCCTTTCTAGCCCATTGTTTTCGGCGAGAATACTTTTCTGTCACAGGCCCAAGTACGACAAGGCAAGGCATGGAAATCGGTTGACCTATTATCAATCCTCGGAAAAGTCCATTCATGACTTGAACTAAAAATAGTCAAAAACATCTGTTGGGGTCACGGGTATTTCCACAGGATTTACAATATCTAGCAATTTTTTTTTTTTAAAGTTTTTTTTTTTTTTAAACTTCCACTTTCTAGTCAGGATTTGTTTTGTAGTCTATTAGAACAATAAAACTTTTCAGTGTCATTCACTAAAGAGTTGGCCTAACTTGCAATGTAAGTTTGTCTGTAATTTGATCATCAATATGTGTGAGAGTGAAAATTTTTTGTAAATTTGTCTGCAATTTAAATTATTACATGTGTGAGAGTTTACATTTTGTGTGTTTCTTTGCTTCTTGAATTGTATTTCTTAAAATCAGTGAATTCATATTTTCTTAACCTCCCCTTAAAAAACAGCCAAACTGAATTTTTGGGGTAAAAGTTAAAATTTTATTGGCATTTGGTTTATTTATTAAATTTCAACTCGATGAGTTAACGGGATGTAGGTCTTTGCCGTCTGAAGATTTTGCCACAAAGTTAGAAACACAAGAACAAAAGCGATGTTAATAGAAATGATATAAAAAGCAGGTCACATTATAAAAATATAGCTGCACTTGTTTGAAGAACTATTTGAAACAAAACGTATTTATAATGCTAAAACCAAGCCTCTTCAGGACAGATACCTGAGATCAGCTCGATTAGAACGAATTATTTCATTAATAGTGACCGAAAGATATACAATTTTCACAATATCCTGTTAAAAATGTAAATAATCCCTTCTGAAGTTGATATTGTGACTAAGGAGGGAAGTTCCTTAGGTAAATGAAGGCTGAAAATTGTGCCTGAGAAATACTTTTAGATTTCATGATTCTAAAGTGTAATAGTTTACAAATGTTTTTTTGTTAGGAATATTTATACATGAGCTAAAAATGAACATGGAGAATGAAATAAAATACAAAACATTTCCATTAATTTCGATCTATAAAGAAATCTGTATCTTATATTATATAATAAGAACTGGGCAAATAATTGAAAAATATATATATATATATATATTTTAGAACCGATGAAAATATTTCCGCGTGGTATTAGTCTCGTTGTGTGATAGAACAGCTTGATTGTGTGATACGGGGCTAAAGCATTTATTTTGGGGACTTGATTGGACATATCTGAAATTTATATAGTATATTTTAGACTGACTGTTCCACTGTGGGGGCGGCAGTTATGTCCAAAAATCCCACGAACAATAAGTGCTTGGAACCAACTGGACAATGCCCCCGTGGACTCGAGATCAATCGAGACTTCCAAGGCTGCCATGGCACCCGCTAGGAACGGTTGGGATAGCCGTATCGTTTCCCAAATCGTTGCAAATATGCCAGTACTTGGTTACAGCAACGTTGTCTATCAGAATCAGAATCAGAATTACATATAAATGTGTGATTTTAATCAAGTAAAGTCATTTCGTAAATGTTTGTGAAAATGTTAAGTCTGGCTTATAATCGAACCTGTTGAGATAGGTGGGGGGGGGGGGCTCTGCAAGAACTAAATTAGGTTAGTATCTATCGTAGGGGATGCTTCAGTTCCTCCAAACATAAAATCACTGCCATGTGGTCCTGTTGAGATAGGTGGGGGGGGGGGGGCTCTGCAAGAACTAAATTAGGTTAGTATCTATCGTAGGGGATGCTTCAGTTCCTCCAAACATAAAATCACTGCCATGTGGAGCGTTCTGTTTTCAGGATTTATCCGAGCGCAATTTCAGAAATGCGCAAAGATTTTTTTACATAAAAAAAAATTATATTGCATAAGCGGGAAAGGTGACATTGAAGAGTTGGGCCAAATCAATGGCTAGTCGATATTTTTTTTTAAAAAGTGTTTATTTCATTGTACTGTCTTCCCTAGCCTGTAGCATGTCACTGTACATCCATTTCCTCGTCTGTCTGTCTGCTCTGACCTGGGCTGAGATCAACTTGAAGCCCTACGATGTCACGGCAGGTGTTATGTTCAAGGCTGTGGATGTCAATCAGGATGGTCTGGTCAGTAGGAATGAACTGGACCTAGCTTTTAAGGTTAGTACTATGTTGCTTTTATTTGGGTTATCATTTTCAATATCTGTAATCAGTAGGATACATAGGCGGATGCAAGAGGGAGTCGACCGCCCCGGACGGCACTCTTCTTGTTGAATGTGTTTGTGTGTGTTTTGGGCACTATTTCTGTTACTTTTCCAAGGTGGCATTTAGTCAAGGTACGCCAGTGTCTTAAATTGATCAAATCCTCTTCAAGCAAACATCTTCTTCTTCTTCCGTCTGCTTTTACCAAAGTTGCGTCGCAGGATGGTATAGTGTGTGATTAACCAGCTGAGAGGTCACAGTTTTGAACATTAGGGTGTCAATCAGCCGAAGACCTGGCCCTTAAAACGGAGTAAGATTGCAATACATGTTGGGTAACTGCCATTCTGACCATATGGCCAAACAGGTACTGTTGATTGCGATTATCTGGTTGATTGGGACAGCACCAACCATGTTTTCTTAAAATTCCAAAGCTGATGTATTCTAATTGTATCGACAATACCTTGTATAAATATATACCATTTAAATATCCCAGGTCTACGACAGTAACGGAGATGGCCGAGTATCGAGGCTGGAGTACCTCAGGTATCTCCTGCAGATGGTCCCTGACCCGACGTTGAACCGCCTGTTTCAGGCAACGTACGACATCATCGATGTCGACAGCGACAGCATCCTTGACAAGCATGACTTCGACAACTTCTTCTCGCTGATCGACTCCAACAGTGACAACCAAATTGACCTGGCCGAATACGTCCGGTAAGTTACCTTATATGTAGTGACCTGGTCGAATAAGTCCGGTAAGTTACGCTAGATGTAGTCACCTGGCGGAATACGTCCGGTGAGTTACCCTAAATGCAAGGACCTGGCCGAATACATCCGGTAAGTTATTCTAGAGGAATTGTCCTTTGCCGAATATGTCCGGTGAGTTAGGCTAGACGTAGCGACCTGGCCGAATACGTCCGGTAAGTTACCCTAGATGAAGTGACCTGGTCTAATACGTCTGGTGAGCTACGCTAGATGTAGTGACCTAGCTGAATACATCCGGTAAGTTTTCTTAAATGTAGTGACCTGGCCGAATACGTCCAGAAGTTACCCTAGATGTAGTGACCTGGCGGAATACGTCCAGTAAGTTACCCTAGATAAAGTGACCTGTGCTAATTAGTCCGGTGAGTTACCCTAGATGTAGTGACCTGGCCGAATAAGTTCGGTGAGTTACCCTAAATGTAGTGACCTTGCCCAATACGTCCGGTAAGTTACCCTAGATGTAGTGTCCTGGTCGAATATGTCCGTGAAGTTACCTTAGATGTAATTATCTGTTCGAATGCATCCGGTAAGTTACCCTAGATTCAGTGACCTGGCCGTACATTTCCGGTAAGTTACCTTAGATGTAGTGGCTTCATTTATAGATAATATTGTTTAAATGCATTTGCAATAAAACCCGGATATCGCAATCCATCTGTGTTATAAATAATAGAATTGTTACGGCATATTTTCTATTTAAACATTTACCTTAACAACTGTACGGAAATTTAATTATCCTTTTAGAAAAGAGTTGTACAACAATAATTTTATTTGTTAAAAATCAAAATCTGTTTGAATCTATCTTTTGTGCCCCTCAGCTATTGGTCTGTTCTCATGCCTGGACTGGAGACAAGACTCTAGAAACTCTACTAGATCATATCACAGAGATCATACATAGCACATACTTTTGTTCACTTTTTCTGATAACTGCAGACCCATTTTAATTAAATTTTGCTTTAAAAAAAGGCTTTCTTAAAAGAAACCCTGTTATTTTATTATTATTATTATTAGGGATCTTATATAGCCTAAGCCTGGGCTCACCGCACTGAACATAACAATTTTCAGCAACCAGAATCCAGCTTATGATTTTTCAAATTCGTTTTAGCTGTAGATTTAATTCAAGCATTATGAGTTTAAACTAGAGGGGGAACCCCCCTCCCCCCTAAATTATCATTAGTCTAATAACCAAAGAGGGAATCAATGAATTTAATGCAACCCCCCCCCCCCCCCCCCCGAATCTACAATCTGACAGCATTTGAGCATTATACTTTCTGAACTTTGCTACGTAAAAGATCAATTCATCACCAAAACCTAACTCACCCCCTCTGGTAACATTCCAAACTAAGATCAAAACCGTTAGCCGTAACAAGATTGTCTGAGTCTGAGATGGGCCCAACACCATCACGGTTCTCAATCCTTGAGCAACCCGTATCTCCCAGACTACAAAAAAATTCAGGGATTGGACTACGAACCACGTATTACTTTTACTTTAGTGAAATTACGTCCCGGTTTTGGGGACCGCCCTTGACAAACTCACGATCTCCACATCGTGATCACCGTAGCTGTTTTTTCCAGGCCTTAACACCTCAGAAATATCGAACAACCACCACCAACAAAAACTACAAATCTAGTCTCTCCCTGTTGTAAAAATCCAAATCTCCATCTCGTACGAAATCCAACTATCTCTCTTGTACAATATAAAAAATCAATTTTTTACAATATCAAAACAATCCTCTTGTACAATATCAAAACATCTCTCTTGTACATTATCCCAACTCACATGTCGTTCATTAACAAAATGTACAGTTTGGGCTTTATCAAAAGCCACATCTTGTACATCAACAAAAAAATATATTATACATAATCAGATGTACCATGTTGTACTTTAACACACTTTATAGCCTTTGCTTCCAGTTTATCTTTTTCCTGACTCTCAAAATTACAACCTGCCGCATAACTACCGTGTATCTGTGGCAATTTCCTGACCTCTTTAACGTCCCCACAATGTTGTATTAAGTTTGCCACCTCACTAGATGTTTAAAAAATTCATTTGAGTGTAGGGACAATATTCCGAGAAATTTCATGCAATTATATCTGAGTGTAGGGACGTTATAACGCTCTGCATACACCGCTATTCGTCAGCTCAGCTCCACCCACCACTACCTAGCAGTTGGTGCAACAAAAATCTTTATCTGTGCCCTAGTTCTCCCTCGTCTTGACTATTGTCACTCTCTTTTCTATCAGGTTCACCAAAACACTTCTTAGAAAAATTACAAAAGTTTCAAAACTCAGCTGCCAGGCAAAAAAAAAACGGGATCACATCACACCACTACTTCATTCACTTCATTGGCTCCCTGTACAAATACGGATTGACTACAAAATCTCTGTTCTCTCCCACAACTTTTTTCTCGAATTCCTCGCCTTCCATTCTAACCGAATTTCTCATTGTCTATTCACCCATTTGACAGCCTCTCTCCTCAACAGACGCGCTTATTCTTTCTGTCCTAAGACTCACACAAAAACATACGGTGTACGGTCGTTCTCTTTCTGTGCTTCCCAACAATGGAATTCTCTTCCATTACACATCCGCAATATACCAACCATCACAGCCTTCAAAACTGCCCTCAAAACACATCTCTTCAAAGTCAACTATTCTGCCTGATCCCCCCCCCATCTGATCAGTAAACGATGTTGATGGGTAGCCGTCCAATGGCTTGACATGTAAATAGTTCTTGAATGTGTGGAGTGAATACACATTTAATTTGGTTTCGTTTTATTTAAATAATGTATTTTTAAGTTCATGATTATGTTTGTTAAATTGTATGCACAGCTTGGTGAGCCCAGCCCTGGGTTGGGGTACCGCTCTATATAAAACCACAACTAATACAAAAAAAATAATAATAACTGCATGAAATTCCTCGGAATAAAATATCTACTCCACAAAGTCGGTAATATTCTCAGTTAACTCCCTTTCCCAGGCTAACAAAACCACATTGCGCCCTTCAACTAACGGCATCCGAAGCAGAGTTTCTTTCAGAAATTTTCCCCGGGGGGGGGGGCACTTCAGACTTTAGGGGGGGGGCACTTCAGACTTTAGGTTGGGGGGGGGGCTTGCCATTTGCCAGTTGCTAAAGACGTAGCTAAGGGGGGGCAGATGTGACATACGTCTTGCCATTTGCCAGTTGCTAAAGACGTAGCTAAGGGGTGGCAGATGTGACATACGTCCCATGGCACCATACATGTGGGGGGGGGGGCGATGTGCCTTGATTGAATTATTAATCGGTTGAAAATAATGTGTTTCAGTGTTATGGGGTGGGGGCGTAAAAATGAATCTTGTCCCATGATAACAAACACTGTAGATAGACCTCTGACAGAGGCGTCGAAAGAGAGTTTATTGAGTGGTCCACCCGGCTGTCACTTGTTCTTTATATGCCGGTGTGGCATTTTCGGACAACTGCAGGGTTTGAATCGTGAATAGTAACAACAAGTAGCGATTAGTAACGCCTTGTAACGACTAGTAAAAACTAGTAATGACTAGTAACATTAGTAACGACTAGTAACGTCTAGTAACGCATGGTAACGACTAGTAGCAAAATTAATGCCTAGTAACGTTAATTTACGACTAGTAATGACTTGTAACAAATAGAAAGGACCAGGAATGACTAGTAAGGACTAGTAAAGTCTTTATTAGGCGTAGATGCGCATAGATGCGCGTAGATGAGTGTAGATGCGAGTAGATGCACTTAGATGTTCTTAGATGTATATAGAATGTGTGTAGTTCTGCGTAGATGTGTATAGATGTAGATGTGTGTAGATGTAGATTGTGTGTAGATGTAGATGTGTGTTAATTTGGGGAGATATGTGTAAATGTGGGTCGATACGTTTAGTTGTGAGAAGCTGTGTTTAGATATGTGTAGATATGAGTAGATGTGAGGAGATGCACTTAGATTTTCCTAGATGTGTGTAGATTGGTGTATTTTTACGTAGATGAGTATAGATGTAGATGTATGTAGATGTAGATGGGTGTAGATGTAGATGCGCGTAGATGCACTAAGGTGAACTTAGATGCTCTTTGATGTGTGTAGATGTGTGTAGTTCTGTGTAGATGTGTATAGATGTAGATGCAGATGTGTGTAGCTGTAGATGTGTATAGATATAGATGTGTTTAATTGTGGGTTGATGTGTGTAGATGTAAGACGTTGTGAGTAGATATGTGGAGATGTGCGTAGATGCGAGTAGATGCACATAGATGCGCGTATTTCATGAAGATGCGAGTAGATGCACTTAGATGCACTTAGATGTGTGTCGTTGTGTAGAGGTATATAGATGTAGATGTGTGTAGATGTAAATGCACTCGAAACGCGTAAATGCACTTAAAAGCTCATAGATGTGTATAGATGTGTTTAGTTGTGTGTATATGTGTTTAGATGTAGATTATATAGATGATGATGTAGATATGTGTAGATGTAGATGCATGTAGATGCACGCTGGCATCCGTCCGTCACAATGTGACGATTGAGTGGTCTTCGGAAGATGAAATCCACATGGCCTGGCATTATTCTTCAGGGATTATCAGCTGGTTCCCAACAGCAAATCGCATCTTTCCATGCCGCATGATAACCCAAGGAAACATCATTGGATGATAAAACTTGGAACCAGTGACTTCGCAGGAGTTGTCGGAATGATTAGTGTATCAATTTTATCCGCCTTTCGGGACTCTATTTCCAGGTTTGATTTCAGAATTTCCTTCTCTTAGATGAGTTGCCATCCCAGGTTAACGAGTCCCATCCACGCGGGGTGCTGGTGGTATATTTGCTTGATTGGGCCCTGGCTGGATTTGAAATCCAGACCACCAACTTGAGATTTTGTCAGTTTAGACCAGTTTATGTCAATGCACATATATGCTTTTAGATGTGTTTAGCTGTGTGTAGTGGTGTGTAAATGTGTATATATGTAAAATGTGTAGATGTAGATGTGTGCACATTTAGATTTGTGTTAATTTGGGGTATGTGTGTAGATACGTTTAGTTGTGAGACGCTGTGTGTAGATATGTGTAGATATGTGTAGCTGCAGGTAGATGCGTTTAAATGCGTGTAGATGCGAGTAGATGCAATAAGATGCTCCTAGATGTGTGTAGATGTGTGTAGTTGTGTGTAGATGTGTATATATGTAGATTGTGTGGATTAAGATGAATGTAGATGTAAATTGCATAGATGTAGATGTTTGTAAATGTGAGAAAATGTAGGTAGATCAGAGAATTGTGTAGATATGCGTAAATGCATGTAGATGCTCGTAGAAGCGGAAAATGCATGTAGATGCACGTAGTTCCGCGTAGATGTGCGAAGACGCGTGAAAATGTGCGTAGATTGGGTTGATGCGAGTAGATGCGCGTAGATTCACATAGATGGGCGTATATGCGCGTAGATACGCATAGATTTGCTTAGATGCACGTAGATGTGAGTAGATGCACTTAGATGATATTATGTATGTGTAGATGTGTGTATTTGTGCATAAATGTGTATAGATGTAGATGTGTGTAGATGTAGATGAGTGTAGATGTAGATGTGTGTTGATGTAGATGCTCATAGATGCACGTAGATGCGTGTAGATGCGTTTAGATGAGCGTATATGAGCGTAAATGTGTGTAGATGCACGTAGATGTGCGTAGATGCGCGTTGTTGCACGTAGATGTGCGTAGACACATGCATTTTTTGCGTGTAGATGCGTGTAGATGCGTTTAGATGAGCGTAGATGAGCGCAGATTCGTGTAGGTGCGTGTAGATGAGCGTAGATGCGTGTAGATACGTGTAGATGCGCTTATATGCCCTTAGATGTGTGTAGATGTGTGTTGTGTGTAGATGTGTGTAGATGTGTATAGATGTAGATTGTGTAGATGTAGATGTGTGTAGAAGTAGATGTCTGTAAATTTTGGTAGATGTGTGTAGAAGTGAGAAGTTTGTAGATATGTGTAAATGTACGTAG